GAGGCGCTATTTCACAGTCAGGGCGGCTAGGGTCTGGAACCAACTTCCAAGAGAGGTGGTGCAGGCTCCTACCCTGGGGGGTTTCAAGAGGAGGTTAGATGAACACCTTGCTGGGGTCGTTTGACCCCAGTACTCTTTCCTGCCATGGCAGGGGGTCGGACTAGATGATCTGCTAAGGTCCCTTCCAACCCCAGAAACTATGAAACTAAAAGGAGAGCTTACGGTCCAAACCATGGAAAAACAAAAGCGTGGTCATGCACTCCTGTGGCAGAACTGCCCCGTAGGATCCTCTCACTTCTGTACCCTTTTTGGGTACAAAAGTCATAGCAACACCTATGTCTCCTTCCCCAACATGACAGCGCTACTGGGCCCTACCTACGGTTCTTCAAGCAGCCATCTCAGGAAAAGGGCCCAATCCTGGAGTGTTCTCTGGCCTACCAAATTGCCCACTGTAGCTCCTTCCTTACCAAGAGTCCTTGTTCCCAGCTAATATAGTGCTAAAAAGGCTTAAAAAACACTTAGACTTAGATTCATAGAATCGGAAGGGACCTCGGTGGGCCATTTAGTCTGCCCCCCTGCCCCAGCAGGCAAGAAAAGAGTCACCAACCCTGGGGTTATGTGATCGCAGCCAGGTGCCTGTCCAGTCTCCTCTTGAAGACCCCCAATTAACGTATGTTAATTGATTATACTTTGAAGCATGGAAGATTTAACCAAAGATGGGGGATAGAGGGGAAAAGAGAGCGAGCGCTCAGTGAAAACAGCTACCCCACAACGGAGACCATCATGGAATAATAGCCATTATCTTCACCTGAAGGAGGAACAAACCAAAGCTAAGAGGAGTTTTGCATTGCACTGTGATTTAAGATTCCAGAGTCCCTCTAAATACAATGTGCATTTGTTTGCTGCCTTTAAGACATACACTTTAAAGAAGTAAAGTGTTCAAATAAGCAAGAATTATGCAGAGTCAAAATGAGTTATCTGCCAGACTATTTTAACCTTTTCAGTACAGCAAGTGTCCATGATCTCTTAAGACAACATCCCTTGGGGGTTGGACTAGATGTGAGCTCCTGAGGTCCCTTCCAACCCTCATTTTCTAAGACTCTATGAAACACTGCAGCTGAATAAAAAAACAACGCAAATTTTCCAGGAAGGTTATAGACTAGGAAATTTCTCACCATTTTTAGTATTTAAAAGGTTTCTTTACACATCCTTATGAAAGAACTTCCTAGCAACCAGAGCAGCTGACAAATCATTGTTGGTATAATGGGACTGAACACACCTCATAGCCACCCACAAGGAGAGACCAATGAGACTGGAGCGTAACGGGACGGTGAGTATGCTCACCTCATCAAAGACAGCGTTGGTGACATCCCCACAGCGTAACGTTTCATAGCTCAGGGACAGCAGATGAGCAGGATTAAATGGAGAAAAATACATGCAGCTTACTGGGTAACTATGCGGTATGAAGACATATACTCCATCCTCAGGTTTATAGCTCTGGGGGGTAGGGGGGAAAAAAAAAAAAAAAATCAAGAAATTGGATGAACATAGCAGATTAACCCGTACACTTATTTCTACCTTTAAATTTTAAAAGAGCAATAAGCATTTAAATTTCAATAATGCATCACAATAAATGCTGACTTGCATTTCCAAAAGCTGCATTAAAAAAATAAATAAATCAGCAAGCTGAAATAATAGCAGTGATATCGGTTCCAGCAGTCCACACTTAGACATTACTCTTATTTGGGCATCAGCATTAAATCCTGCAGTCCTTGCTCAGTCTAAATTACAAGTGAAGTCAGAGAACGTGTCTCTAATGTAGAGAAGTGCATGATTTTGCTCACTGTAGGCAGCTGAAAATACAACTGCTAGGTCTAGATTTTCTTCCCCCCATCCTTTTCAGCACTGTGCACCTGGCTTAATTGTAAGGGCTGCAAGATTTACTTTCAGTTTCATAATTATACTTCCCAGACGTAACAGAAAAAGCAACTTCAGTGACAACTAAAACATAACTCTACCTCACCATGATTTTCATTACAACCTGTACATCTGTTTGCTTTTGTTACATTCAGTTTGGGAGTTAAACACAAAAAAGTAAGATTTTCCCTGCTACTGTCAAACTAAATTTAGAATCAAAGTTAGTTTCTTTTTTAGAACTAATATTTGCTTTTATAGATACAATTGTCTGCCCTTTAAACTGTGTTAACTACAGTAATCTTGGATTAAAATCAGAAAACACATCATCAGTTACCAGGTCTCTGTAGGTAACAACACATTTAATCTAAATGTACTTGTCTAAAAAGCTTAAAATATTATTTGTGATTTCTTTAGCATCGGTTATTAAGGACAAGGTTGAGAACAAAACAAGTAGGTTTTGCAGCTTGTGCATATTATAAATGTGAGCTAAAAAAGTGATTTTGTGGCTGTGATGGTCCAGAGCTAAAAGGCACTTATGCATGGTTATGAAACTAATTTGATGACTCCTGCCTATGGCGGTGATTCTCAACCAGCATTTCAAGACCCTCTGAAGTGCCTTGAGATCCTTTCAAGGGTGCCAAAGGGTGTTGCATAATGTTAGCACTGCTAGTGTGCAAACAGGATTGACAAGAGAAACCAGGATTTCAAATAAGAATTCATACTGTTAAAACAATCATGCCCTCCTGTAGCCTGAGTTCTTCACCAAAGAAGAATTGCTCTGTTATTTTTTGTGTCATCCAAAAATGACTGAAAACTAAGAGCTGGCACTTTCCAAGGGGGGGCCCTCGAGACTGAGGCAGCGTGTCCGAGGTCTAAAAAGGTTGAGAATCACTGCTCTAGTGAGAGGACAGCTAGGTTTGTAGAGGGAAAAGCATGCATTTCTGGCTCTCTTGGTTTGAAACACACTGTACATAAAATTCACAAAACCCACATGCACAGAAAATCTTCCTTAATCATTTTTAAAGTGTTTTACATTTTCTAAAGTTTTCTAACTCACACCATGGTGCTGGTTATTTATTTGTATTTATATGCCCGTGGGTAGTTATACAAAAGGCTGTATAAACAAGATATTATACAAGAGGTTATATAAATAAGATATTATGTAAGAGGTTATACAAGAGGTAACATATAAGGATGATATAACCTCTTGTAGAAGATTTATATATGTGCCATTTGGCATGATATGATTCTCTCACTGCAATCATCCTAAACTCATGCAAAATGAAACATTAATCCCCCCGTCACCAAGAACTGTATTGTCACATATTACAACCAAGCAATGGAGCTTCCCTTCCAGTGGGCCTCAAACAATTAAAAATTGCATTTTTGGCCAGTTACCTGGCTTTTTCCCATAAAATTCACACACAACCCTGTCCCCTCCTTTAAGCCAGTAACGCCAAAGCATTTACCAAATCCCAGAGACCAATCTGCCCACTCCTGTCTCCGGCTGCCACCAACGTCCTGCTTTCTGAAGGATGGATAGCCATAGAACAGATTCGGTTTTTGACAACTTTTGTAACAGCATCTTCACTGAGGATCATACAACTCAGACTGTCTTCATATCTAGGCAACATTATTAAAATATTAATGAATTAAAAAAAAAGTAAAACTAGAGAGCTCAAGAAATAAATTGTTTGATGATTACCTTTTTATGTCATACACATGCTTTTCTGTATCCTCAGGTTTTATCTACATTATGAAACAGAGGGATGGGGGAGGGGAAAGGACAAATTTATTTGGAGAAAAATGTATTAAGAGCTCAGACTAAATGTACATTATCAAAAAAGAGAATGTATTCTGATCAGCAATACCTCACTTATCTTTGCCCAGCCATCCAGAAACTCCTTAGTCGACACCTTGCTTGTATTCACGTCTGCAGGTACCATCTGAAGAGGTCCAGGTGGCAACAGAGGCTATTTGATAGAAATGGGGTAGAAATTATTTTAAATAAATACCATGATTTATTTTCCTTTCAACTTCCTCCCCTAATTTATCACATTAGAAATATTAATAAGCAAAGGGAGCTCTTCAGCTCTTGTATCTTCCACACTTTATGATATTACAATGTGGAAAGGGTGCATCAAAATGAAAAACCTCCTATTAAAGCATTTTATTTAAAGGAAGGGAGGGAAATTAATTAGCAAGTACAAGTGGGTCAACAAATAGCCACCCTAATATTTTCCCCCTTTTATTTCTTCCTTTGCACCCAGCAAAGACTCTCTTCAAGGACTGCATTGCAGAATACTGACGTTACTTCAGCAGCATGACAGAGAAATTTAAATCAACTCAGAAGAATATGATCTTATCTGTTGCCTGTGCAACGTTCTCAAATAATACAGGTAAGTGCATCAGACAAAGATGGAACTAGATTAAAATCAGACCGCAGTTACAGTTAAACAAAAGCAAAACAGAGCAAAAATATTTGGAATGAATATTCCAAATATTCCACTCCACTCTGAATCGGAGAATATTTCATACGATCAGAAATTCAATCATGAGATTACAGAGCAGGGAAATTATTTCATCAGTCTGAGGTGCAGAACATTGACTTAACTATTGAATGCTCCACTTCCATCACCAGATTACATTTTGATAGAATAGTCGAGAGCAAGTTCTGTCGAGATTCATCTCAAACTTGGTTTCCACAAAACCCCTGATCACTTCCCTGAAGCAAATGACTACGCAAGACAAATGAGGGTGAAAGAATTTGCCCTTTCCTCTAGGTACTGCACAAAAGACTTCCCAAGTATCTCCAAGGGATAGAACAAAATAGATTAGTGTCAAATATTACAAGTGACAGCCCCAGCGCTCTTTCCTGCCTGGGACAGGGGATTGGACTCGATAATCTGCTGAAGTCCCTTCCAATCCCAACATCTATGAATCGAAGGGCTGAATACAGAGATTGTTTTCATAAGGCTACCGACATATTTCTTCTTTTGCCCTCCCCCATCTCACGTGTTCATCGACGACTGTTTCTGGCTGCGCAGGAAGTTCTGGCAGTGGAATTCCCGATGGGTCTACCCTCTGTAAGCGCATGGACCTTCGACGCACTGTCTCATCTCCTGCCTTTTTGGGCTTAACTCTAGAGGAATAAATACACATCAGATAATACATAGCCAAAGAACTCAGACACACCTGATTCCTCAGGAAGCCTCTCTCAGTGGCTTGGACCCCTGTTTCCAGGGCCTTGACACAGACTAGTGGCCCAGTCATTCTAGAAATGTCATTTTGCCAAAACTCTCATCTTATTTCCATCCAGTAACACCCCACTGGTAATGGCCTATACTTCCAGTTTGCATTTACAACGCACCCTCTCTCTAGCTGCTCTACTTTTCTTTTCACAACTTTTTTTATTTATGGTGTGAATTTTTCCATCGCTCCCCTCCAAGACTTCATCTTTAATATTCCTTTTCATTTTCTTTCATGCAATATTTTATTTCCTTCTTCCTTCTGTACCGTGGCTTGATTTCCTGCCTTTGCTGGATTTTGCTTAATGCATGTTCTTCTAAACCTATTAGTTATCCTTCCTCTCATATAGCTAGGGCTTTTCCTTTCTTCCTCCTCATATTTCTCTTTAGCTCCCTTTCATTTCCTTTCATCATTTAGATTGATTTTTCCCTTAGCTAGCACAGCATATAAAATACTGTAAGAAAAAGTGGCTCATGAATATAGTTTCATAGTAGCTAGGGTCAGGAGGGACCTGAACAGATCATCTAGCCTGACCCCCTGCCACAAGCAGGAATGAATGCTGGGTTCACA